AACCCGCACTGCTTAAAAAAGCCCCTTTAAACACAGAAGTTTGTCTTTGCTTTAGTCTCATTTTCACAGCTGGCATACAGGCTTAAATCTTTTACAGTGTTTTAAGTATCTGGCAGTCTGTTCTGCATGCAAGGCAGTGAACCTGTTCTTGTGCCCCATTTCACTTGCTTCCTTGCTGTTAAGGAACCGCAATCTTAAGAGAAGAAAAGCTTAGTTGTGTAGAGTATATAGCATGAAAGGATTTTAATTTTTTTGTTTGTTTTCAGAATGTTATACACATTGCAATGCAACGTTGCAATCTGTTGCCTTTTTGAAACCTTAAATATGATATGAATCCAGTCTTGCTTTCTCTTTTCTCCCTGTGTTTCATGCTTAGTTTTAAAACGTAGTATTCAATGAATGCCTTTGACTTATTCGAGTTAAAGAATAGTTGCCTATTTTAACATTACCACTTTCTTAGCTTTAGAAGGTAATATTAAGTGAGTTTTGTGAGGATATATGTGACTAGGAGGTTAAAATACTAAGCTTATGGTAGAGTCTTGAATAAATTTGGTGGGTTTCTTTTCCCTTTAAGCAAATTCAGGCATAGAGCTTTTGAGTGCTTAGGCTGATCTGTCTGCTGCTGGAATGTGCTTGCCCAATTGTCTGCATAGTTAAAATATTTTGAACATGGCCTATTTTGATGTAACTTCATTTGAAATATCTGCCTAATGGAGAAGTCTTAATGGAATACTTTAATAGCCTGAAGTGGTTACCTGCAGTTGCTCCAGCGTATTTCAGTCAATTACAAAGGAAGGCAATATTTAATGTTGGAGTGGAGCTAGATGGTGTAATGAACTGGCAGATTGCCAGCTTGATCTTCTCCACAGGAGAATTTGTATTAACGTGATGCTTTTCATTTGTTCTCCAGAAGGTCACCAGTAATATGTCAATTGTTGAATTTTATCATAGTTATCGGAGTCACTTGAATGCCTTACTATTGGAGTTAAAATTCCCACTCTGTGCAGTACAGGTTTATGGTCAGGTCATTCTTGTGTATTAGCACATTAAGTATCAAAGAGATTATTTTAGCTATTTCATGTCAGAATTTAAATAGGAGGTGGTCGGGTGTTGGGAAGAGAGCCTGAGAGAATTGTCATTGAAATAGCCATTGTAAGGCTGAATCTGGATTTTAGCCATGGGGATAAAGAAAATGGGGCACATCAAAGCTATTAGTGAAAGGAAAGGTGGCTAATAACTTTGGATGTTACTTGTAATACAATCATTACAAGAGCACTAATTTATTCTTAAGGTTGTAATCTTTAGAGATTACACAGTTAAATATAAGGTGCTTACTTTACTATATTGGATGTTACTGATATTTGTCCTCTGGTGCTTGTTTGCAAGCATCAAGTTCAGACTTTTATTTCTGACTGTTCAGAAGTGCTTTTTACTGTGAGACTTGTTATAGTCCTTGTGTTCCAAGGACCTTGGTCTAGAAAACAAATGACTGAGGTTGCCGTTCAAACGCAGACAAATCTGTCTTTCTACCTCGCATGTTTTTAATCACACGTTCATCCAATTCCCATGCTCTGCCATTCCTGTTCCTTGTTGTCGTCTTCTGTTCCTCTGCTCTGGGCCTCACGGTAAGCGTAGGATATGAAGGCAGTCGTGAATGGTAAGGAACTGTGGCGTTTTGCGTGCAGCAGGGCTGACGTTACTGCCGTAGTATGGGTATTAGGATTGAGGTATGACAAATGGACGTCACACTAGGTGGCACAGAAGTGATGGGCACTGGTGATACCATGGGATACGACCTCCCAGCTCTGTGCCTCTGTTTGCCTTGCTGCCCTTCAAAAAAGTTGTTGGCTTCGTTTCCCAAGTTTTCTAATGTTGCACCAATTTGTCTTTTGGGTGGACAGTAAGCATTTACCATGTGTGTTCCAAGGCTTTTGAAGGCCAATGGAGATTATTTTGTACTCTCAAAGTTTAACTATTCATTCCCCCAAAGCCTGGCTTTGCTATCAGATACAGCTGTCTAGGAGCCTGGCTGGTAGGATGCAGCAGCAGAACCAGAAAACCCCACCTATGGTGCAAACCCTCTGCCTGGGTGCAGATAGTCCCAAGCCCTAACTGCTGTTTCCATTTACTGCCCCTTGAGAAGAAAGATCTTGCACTTCTCTAACTGAAAGATTGCTTCAAGGAACATATTTAAAGTGTAAGCGAATTATTTGCAGACCAGGTTTCCATCCTGAGTTTGAGTCACTCTGCAACTCACAGTGTTGCAGGCGAAGCTTTGGGCTGTGGGGGTGTGTGATGGAAATTGGTTGCTCTTCTGGGGAAGTGGCTCTTGGTGTGACTCCTCGCAGAAAACTTCCTCTGGCTCTTCTGTAGCAAAGCGAAGATTTTTACCAGGAGCAAAATAGAAAAGGAGGTCAAAACGCAAATGGAATTGAGCCCAGAGAGGACAGAGACCAGTCTGCATCGTGCACTCGTGTGTCTGTTAGACTAACAGAGTTTTATTTCAATCAAAGTGTTGGTAGGAATGAGGTTTTCTTGTGCATCTTCTTCCTTTGAGTCTTTGCACTATCACTATTAACATTCTGAGCTACTTTTAATGTATGTTAATTGAGCTGTGAAAATAAAACTGTTCTTGCTGTATAGAAGGAAGTTAGTATTGTTATATTGAGATAAAAACATGACTCGTTCTTTTCTTATGTATTTAGATGGGATTTGGACTCTTATTTTCCCCAACTGTACTTCCTCCCCAGTTGACTAGTAAATACAAGGTTAGTTTTTCAGGTATTGATGATTGACAGTACTGTTTTTCAGCTCACTTTCAAGCGCAAGGTCTCTATGCAAATGTGTATTTGTAAAGGTGGAAGCAATAATTGAGGGGGCGTTGGGTTTTTTCTTTAAGGAACAAAATTAAAAAGAAGAAGAAAAACAAAATCAGAAGCTTGGTACAGTACTTCAGTGGTGGATGGTAATGGGCAGTAGATGATTTGTGAGGTAGGAAGGGGAAGGATAGTACTGTTCAGAAGATTTGTAACAAAAAAATGAAGAGACTTTTATTTTCTCACTTTTTCCCCTTAGTAAGAAAAATGTTCTTGCATTATTGACAGGACAAAAACATGTACTACAAAACATTCAGCCAGTAGGAAAGTAGATCTGCCCTGCCGCAGGGTTTTAATGTTGCTTTGCTTATTAAGGTATCTTTCCCATTTACTTGGTATCAGTCTTATAATTTCAAATATAGAGCAGTTTTCAGCGAGAACACAGTTAAGGTCTGTAACTGGGTAGGAAAATTGATACAGCAAAGTGTTGCCCACGGTCCATGTCTGCAGAAAGCTCAAGACCCAGGTGGGGTGCTGGGGCAGCAGGCATTCCAGCCAGCACCCTGGCAGGGGAGAAGGGAGTAGGTCACCCTCCGGTCCCATCTGCTCTCTGCTGTCACAGGCATGTCTTCATTCAGGTGCCAAACTGGATCAGGAGCCTCTTCTGTTTGAGTAACACTTCCTCACGATTTGCTCTCCTCTGTTTTTGTGGTTTGTTTTGGTTTTTTTTTTCCTTCCTTGTGTGTTTTTCAGGAGGGCTAGCAATGCTCTGGCTCCCCTTGCAGCTGCTGGGGAGCAAGGGGTGAGCCGTCGGGGAGCTGAAGAGCAGAGACTCTCTCGGGCTTTACCCCCTAACAATATGTTTATGCTTAAATGTTTGTCAAACTGTGGTTTTAGTAGTTCTGTTACTCCACTTATTAATGGGTGGAAGTCTAAATCTCACTTTTAAACATCTGTGTAAGGTATTTATGATACCTTTGTCAATACTTTTTCTTTTTCCCCATCATTATGATGCATGGGATCATTGGATGAATTGCTCTTTTTAATAGGATTTCTTCATAGGATGCTTTTGTAGAGTGGCAACTGGTTGGAATCTGTTCAGAGAAGGCTTTGAACAGAAACATTTGTGCATGAGTGGCCTCAGGTTGAGTAGGAGTTGTAACATTGTCCTCGTGAGCTAGGGGCTGCAGCGCTGGAAGGCGCTCAGGATTTTTTTCCTTCTCTTTGAATTGGATCTTAATGGGTTTACGCTGCCTGAATTTGTCAGACATCCTAAGGAGGCAGAAGCGTCATTAAAAAAAACAGAAACAAATGCTTAAATACTTGGAAGTCTCTTCTGAAAGGTTACTTTTGTGGCTAGAAATACTTAACAGAACAATGGAGGCCAGGAGGGACCTCTGGAGGCTTGTGCCGTCCAGCTCCCGGCAGGGCTACGGCTGCAGCTGGGGCCATGTCCAGGAGAATTTGAGACTCTCCCAGGAAGAAGGTCCATCACTTCTCAGGGGCCATGTGGCTGTGCTTAGCCACCCTTGTGACTTCTTTACATCCAGCCAGAATTTCCCTTAACGGAGTTCTTCAGCCCTGTGACCAGCTTCACCGCCTCTGTCAGCGCTCACTTTTGTTGGGCTGGTGGGCCCCAAACCGCACGCGGTAGTAATCCAGCTGGTTTACATGTCCAGATGTGTGTGAGTGCCTCCCGGGTGGAAATAGTCCTGTCCCACAAAACCGCTGGCTATGCTTTTGCTGATGTACCTCGGTTTTTCATGTGTAACAGCATTTCCCTTTTCTTAGGAAGTATGGGCAAGTTAAACTGACTAATGTAAAAGTGAAGGAAACAGTAAATAATGGTCCTTTGAAAAATGTAATCTTTCTAAAACTGCGCTGAATTTTTAATCCCGTTTCTTGACTGATTTTTCTCCGTATTGTGATGACTGGGTTTGTAGTTGGTTTCTTGCCTAGATGGTTTGGATTGTCTGTGGTTAAATTGACTTTGTATTCATCGAGAAAAGTTAAATATGAAGATGGATTCTATTTATGCTAAACAGGTGGATCAAGTTAGAGCCATTCTGCCTGCTCTTCAGTGTCTCTTAGGAGATTTTGATAGTATGAAAACTAAATTGCCTAGCTAAAGGTCTTCTAAGTTTAGGGCTGAAACTAAAATGTGTTGTTTGTTGTTTCAGATAGTGGTGTACATAACTTTGTTGGAGAGTCCTACCTTTCACTGCCTGGATCCTTTTAACAGTGTGCCAAAGGTGAGTGGTTCAAGTTCAGTGGTTATTTTCAAAAGTAAAGATAATGAGTGAACTGGATGTATTGCTTGGTTTTTGCTTTTATGTAGAGTAGTACTTGTGATTCCCCCCCCCCCCCTTTTTTTTTTTACAGTT